GGCCCAGCAGCCACCACCCCTGCCACCGAGGGAGCTGAGGTGTTTCTGAAAGAGAAGCCCTTCGGGGCTCACTCTTACCTTCAAAGCCCAAGGGGAAGAGGAGCATGGGAATTTGGGGTGGCCCTTCATTGGAGGGTGCGGAGCTCTCCACTGGGACCAGGGGTTGGCAAGGCAGCAAAGGATGCACTTGCAGGTTGGAGCAGTGGCCTCGGTTCCTCCAGCACCTGCAATGTGGCTCTGAGCAGGGACTCTGGACACACAGGACACGCACCGTTGGCAGCCCGGCCACCTGCCCCACATACACTGGCTGAGTGGCTGTGGAGGGTGCAGAGTGGGAAGAACAAGCCAGTTCACCCCCCACCACTCAGAGCCCCGTGGAGCCCAGACCTGCTAGACACCCATGCCCCACCTTGCCCTGCAATCCAGGGGACTGACTTTAAGCTCCGGGCGCAGAGTGGGGCCTGCTTACCAAGAGCATTCTTCGAGGCAGGAGAGCAGCGTCCCTCGTGGTCCTGTCTGGTGTCCACACACTAGGTCCAAGTCCCGGCTGTACTATGGAGGAGCTGTGTGACTGAGCAAGCTGTCGAACCTCTCTGTGCTCTGGCTGCCGTACTTCTAAATTAGGGACGCTAATAGCACCTTCCTCTGAGGTCAGCATGAGGACGCAGGGATCGATCGGCAGAGAGCTCTCAGCGGGGTAAATGCATGCTAACTGCCTGGATGCTCAGCGTGGATTTTGCAACGTCACAGGGTGCACGAGGGGTGGAGGGAGGGCGAGGTGTGCAGAGGGATTTCAGGGCCTGGCAGAAGGTGCGGGGAAGCAGCCGTGTTTATCGGGCGCCCTCTGTGTGGCATGCACTTTGTGACCCCCAGACCGGCCTGCAGGTAGGCACTGCTCTCTCCTGCATGGATACCGAGGCCCTGAGAGGTTCCTGTCCTAGGGCCAGGCAGGACAGTCCCATCCGTCCAGTGCTGCGTGATTCTGGGGCTACTGGCCTTGCTGCTTGGTCCCAGTGCAGGGTTGGAAGGCTGGACAGAGCCATGCGGTGGGGTGCCGGGTGGGCTTGGGACTCTGCATCTGAAATTTAAGGGGGGAAATCAAGAAGACTGTTCAGCCGCGGGGCTAACGCGCACTGTGCTGGGCCATGATGTGCATGGTCCCATTTATTCTCGAGTAATCTCAGGAAGTGAACTCTGGTAGTAAGGAAGATGAGGTGTGCAGGACCAGAGAGGCTGAGCCACCTGTCTAAGGTCACAGACAGGCATGGGATAAAGACTCCAGAAGCCGCCACACTGGGAGATGGATGACTCGTGAAGAGAGGGGGCTGGAGGAAGCAGGGGCTGGCAACTGGCAGAGCAGCCGGGGAAGGCGCCCGAGTACCGAGGGACTTGGTGCAGGCTGGAGGGACAGAATGGCTCTAGGGGAGCCAGATTGGGCAGGACATTCTGGCAGGGGAAGGGAGCGAGGGGTAAGAGGCCAGGGCCAGCGGCGAGGGGGCCAAAGGCCAGCCAAAGTGAGCTGGAGGTCAGCTGTGTCACTTCTGTGTGCCTGTGACCCTGCTCCGCCCTGCCTCCTGTGCAGACCCCAGGAGAGGAGCAGGACATGGGCCTGGAGAGGGCTGTGGCCAGACAGGACACCTGCTACGACTCCCACAGTGGCGAGCTCTGTCCTTAGACCCTGGTGTTAGAGGGAAAGGGCCCCTCACCAATCTCCAGGGGGGTCCAGGTGGGAGATCTCTGTGCCAGATGGGGCAGTCTCACTGAGAATTGGGAAATGGGGCCCCCAGGCAATTCCTTCTTTCAATGCCCCCCCCCCCTGCACCCCCGGTGTCCTGGGTGCCCCATCTGGCCTGCCCTGCCCTGCCCTGCCCTGCATGTGCTTCCCCTGGAGAGTCAGCCTCTCCCTCCAGACCCACCCGCCTCATCCTCAACTCTGTGGGAGCTGTGCCTCACTGAACCCACCGGGAGCAGTTACAGTCGCCTGCTTTGCAGCCCGTGAGGAGTGCCAGGCCGGAGCACAGTGGGGAGGAGCTGGAGCCCCAGGGACCCCGCGCCCCTCCTGTGTCTGTCCTCAGCAGCGGCATGTGCTGCACGTGGTCTGCGGTGCCCCCAGCCTTTGCCTCAGCAGGCGTCCTCTTTCTTTTCTGGTTGACTTATTTAGGGGGAGAGATGGGGTCTCCCACACCACAACCCCCACCCTCCCAGCCTTCCAGCCTGTCAGGATCACGAATGCTCCTGCTGCCCCAGGCTCCCCTCCCCACCTGGCCCGTTCCCACGGCGGCCCTCAGACAGGGCCGCTTGCTGTCGTGTTATCCGGTTCGCCGGCTTGGCGTGGGGAGGCAGGTACTGTTACCACGTCCATTTTTCAGACGAGGAGACCCAAAGAGGTTGTGCAAGAAGGTCACAGAGCCGAGACCAAGAGCCAGGTCTTACCACCCCAGCCCAGGGCTTCTTGTGGGTTTTGTAAAGTTGAACCAAGGCCGAGCGGGGTGGATGGAGCGAAGGGGCTGGAGGAAGCAGGGGCTGGCAACTGGCAGAGCAGCCGGGGAAGGCGCCCGAGTACCAGGGGACTTGGTGCAGGCTGGAGGGCCAGAATGGCTCTAGGGGAGCCAGGTTGGGCAGGACATTCTGGCAGGGGAAGGGAGCCAGGGGCCAGAGGCCAGGGCCAGCGGCGAGGGGGCCCACGGCCAGCCAAAGTGAGCTGGGAGGCAGCTGCGGCACCTGCTCCGCCCTGCCTCCTGTGCAGCCTGCAGCTCGCCTGGGAAGAGGAGCAATCCCCCTGCCCTTGCTCGGGAGGCGCCGGATAAAAACTGCTGAGGAACAGAGGGATGCAGTGATGCGTCCCCAAATCAAGGGGGCGCCCCGAGGAGCCCGTGCCAGCATGCGTTCTCCCGGAGCAGCTACTCCGAGGGCACGCAGGTCACCTCACGGCTCTGCTGAGGCCCAGGACCTCGGCCAGCTGCTGACCCACTGCACCTCAGTCCTGTTCTGGGCCTTGGTTTCCCTAGTTGGCCAGCGAAGGCTGGACTAGGAACTTCCAGACTTTGGACATTCGCAGCACAGTAAAAGGAAGAGGGGAAAACGTTCGGTCATCAGTGTAGCATTGCTAGTTCATTCTGCCAAGAAAGGAGGTCAAAAACGCTTTGTTTTTGTTTTTGTTTTTCTGTAGGACATAAGTTTTAGAAGCAGCCAGCATCTCTGTCCGCATAATTTCCTAAAGGATTTCCTTGGGCTAAAGGCTGGCAGCTCCCATGTCCTCCCTTCTCACTCTGCCGCGGGCCAGTGGCCTGCGCTCAGGCCTGGGGGAGCCCTAGACCCCTCCTCACAGTCCCTCTGGCTCTGTCATTTTACGTCAAGCTCTGTGACCCTCAGGAAAGCCCCGAGAAGAGGCCAGGCAGGACAGAGGCCCCTGGACTGAAAGAGCAAGTGTGGCCACAAAGGTCCCATGAGAAGGCAGGAACAGAGGGAGGCTGGCCTCCTGGCCTCCCGGGGCCTCCGCCTCAGGCCTCTGTACCTGAAACCGAGTGTTCTCTGGTGCACGTTAGGTGCAGGCACGCAGGACCGGCTCCGGGCTTCCCAAAGAACAGGAGTCCCGCAGGCAGTTAAAGGACCAGGGCTTTCTTACTTTTCTTTTTTTTTTTTTTAATTGAATATCTCTGTTCAGAGGAGGCTGGTCCTGCCTGTGCCTTCGTCCCTCTCCTGC